GGGGGCCTAATTTAGTTCTCTATTTTTGTTGGATTTTTCTATAAACGCACCTTGCCTTGTCAGGCATGCATGAAGTTTCTTTGTGGACTCACTTAAATTTGTCACAGGTGTTAGTGTCTTAGAGTCTTGTAGATTCTAAATTTCAGCACCTATCAATTGAAAGTTCAAAATTTTTCCAAGGGTTGATTTATATGTCTTTACTGTAAGGGTTAATGATGCACTTGAATTCAAAGTATGACACCTTGGGATCATGTACTATAAAGTAATACAGTGATCAAGAAATAAATGTTTCAAGGGTTACTAAGAATCTCACCCAAATGTAAGATGCACCGCTAATAAAGCGTAGTTGTGGTTTTCTAACAGAGACCAATTCTTTGACCTGATTCATTATTATTTTTGCTTAGATATAGGTTGCAGTAACATATGTTGTGATATGGTAGACGCTAATCTTATCATATACTTGTTCTTTTGCAGCATTTACTTATATGATTTTTTCATCTGTGTTATGGGCAGGTGAAACAAATGATGGGATCTGATGCAGCAACGACTGAAGATCTAATTGCTTATAACTTAATCTCGCTGGATGCTCCCACTGGGGCAGATGCTATCTTGTCTTTCGCTGAGGTAGTTTTATTTCTTTCTTTAGTCCTCAAGTTCCTATTTTGTTGCTTTGCAATTCTTCACATTGCAAAGTTTGTGGTCAGGTTTGAGCTGCAGTCTCAGCTTTGAAATACTTCCCAGGATTGCCCGGACTACCTGAAGAACTTTGTATACCTCCTACAAGGAAACCTGATATGCTCGATTTTCTTCACTAAATTTTGGATTTTAGGTAGGTTCTCTTGACGACATGGTTTGTGAGCTTCTTTATTATGTGATATTAGGAGTTCAAATTGTTGAAGTTACAGTTAATTCTTTTCTTTTGATTTTAAAATTTTTGGGACAAGAAAAGAACATTGTCTATTGATCTTTTGAAAGAACTATCATCTTGGACATTTACCTGATTCATCTATGCTATTGAATTGTAGGTGAGCAAACTGATTGAGGTTGGATGGTTTTGTGGGTTGTGGTTTTGTCTTAGATTAGGTGTATTGGTTTGGATATGGATTTATGGGTCATGGTTTTGCCTTAGATTTAGATTTAGGTGCTTTAAGAGATCTATGATGCCAGTCTATCCCTGTCTAACTTCAAATAGTCTAATGTTCTATTATGACTAAATTGAGGGAAAGGGGAGGCTATAGAGTATTGAAATAGAAAAGAGATGGGTTGAAGAGTTTAATGAGTGGTGGTAACCAAAGCAGGAACAGTTTTAGAAATAAAAATAGTAACCAGAACAAGAATAGTGATGGAAATAAGAATGGTAACCAAAACTGGAATAGTGATCGAAATAGAAATAGAAATAAGAATAGTAACTAGGATTAGGAATAGTGATGAGAATAATAATAGTAACCGGAATAGGAATAGTGATCGGAATAAGAATAGGGAAATGAGGATGCACCTGTCACAATTGTATCAAAACTAAGATTTGTCCAAGTCACTGACCCCTAAGTATTCCTTCTCATGCTATGTAGTGTAATTTTTGAAGGTAATATGTTATATATTGGCATAATTTTCTCCTCTTTTCATTTTTTTGTTAATGTCTGAAATTTTGCTTTCAGTGATGTGTTGGTTGCAAAACTTAAAATATGTTTGTGTATTTTCAGGCTAAGTAGTTGCCTTGATATTAGATAGAAATTTAATATTTTGATGTACTGTCATCTATTATTGATTTATCTTTCTTTGAAGATAAAAAAAAAAAAATGTGGGGAGATGGCATGCAAGTTACATTTTTTCTAGGATCAACTGCTTAAAGCAGGTTTGACACCTTCAATCAAATCTAAAACAAGAGCTGACAACAATATAGATGACCTAGAGGTGTGTTATGATCTTTATTATTTTTACTAGAAATGAAGCCAGTAACTTAATCAGTTATACATGATCTCCTTTTTTTGTTTTTGGTGGGCTAGGTAAAACTTGGAGAACTTGAGGCAGAGCTGGTTGAAATGAATGCAGACGGAGAAAAACTGCAAAGCTCATATTGTGAACTTGTAGATTATAAGCTCGTTCTGCATGCCATAGTGATGGATAATTGTAGTAGTTAACACGAGGTCATGAACATCTATTCTAATAGAATTGGTTCAATAGGTTTTAAGATATTAATGTAAGCAACAAAATTCATTATGGGGCATGGAAAAGAGAGTATAGTGTTTCCTTGTTAAAAATTAAGAGAAATCAATTAGGCAAAAAATGTTAGCGAGTTCTAAACAATATTAGAATGATTACTTTCTGCGCTTTGGAGTATGATAAGTTCTTCTACTTAATTGAAGTTTAGGCAACTTCAATTAAGTGACATGCCTGTAGAGGGTTACAGGTTTTCAAACATCTACTTAGGCCTTTCTGTACCTAGTATCTTAGGTAAGTTACAGGTTTCAAACATCAAACAAGAGCACAACTCTTGGTAGAAGAAGAATTTTTCTACTTTGAAAAATAACTTTCCTTTATATGGTATTATAGAGTTAATGAAAGGGTTGTGCTATGATTATTAGTATCTTTATTAATTTGTATTATTCTAGAAATCGAGAATAAGGGAGGAAAACTGTAATTATGAGAGCTGATGCAACCAGACTTGTCCCTGTACAATTTGGGAGAAGATTAATCCAAATTTCGGAAGGTGGTGGAGCAAAGAGCAGCTTTGCCACCAGACGGTACTACCGTTAGTAAATTCGCGTTTTATACGCGAATTATACGGCTAGCTTATAATTCCCGTATAAAACGCGAATTCACGTATTTTATTAGGGCTACCGTATAATTCGCGAATTATATACCCTATCCGTATAATTCGCGAATTATACCCGAATTTTTGCCGAATTTTTGCAGACAAAAAATAATTACATGATAGGCAAACGACGTCGTTTGGTGGGGTTGGACTAAAATTAAAAAAAATCTCCTTCCCTCTTTCTCGGTTCTCTTCCACAGTCTTCATCTCTTCTTCAAATCTTCAACAATTCAACTCTTTTCTTCATCTCTTGACAGGAGTCTTGATCTCTTCTTCTCTTCCTTTTTAAATTTTAACCTCTTCTCCAAGCTTTAGTCCAAGACTTCAACCTTCAAGCCTCAAGCTACACACTTCTTCTCTTCTCTTTTTAACTCTCTTTGAATCTTGTATGTTGGTGATTATTTTGTGTTTGTGTTGTGTGTGAGTAGTAGTAATAGGGGCTGGTGGATTGATGGATTTGTTATGTTGGTGGATTGATAGTTTTGTTTGAAACAGTTTGATGAAATGCTTGTGAGAGTTAATTTGGTATCTGTTTAACAAATATTTCATTTAGTTCTGTTGTTTTGTGTTGTATGGTCAAAATGAAAAGACTAAAGATCATCTATGAAAGCAAAAGGTAAAGGCAAAACTGCAAAAGAAAAGCATGAATTCATAAAAAAATTGTCGGGCTTGATTTGGAATTGGCAATACTTAAGAAGAAGAAAAAAACAACAAACCATCAGTTTACAACCAACGCCAACTGCAAATTGTAACCCTGTGCACTTTGTCATGTTTTTAGATTTCATACACTATTATTATTTGCCTTTGAATGTACTGTCCAATTAAATTCAGAAAAAAACAATTATACTAATTGGAATCCAACTTGTGATGCGTAGCTATAAAATTAAGGATAAAATACTAGTCTTAGTTATTGTTCAAATATACTTTAAATTAAAAGGAAATAATTGTAGGGCCGACCACAATGGATTTTTAAATGGGATGTTTTGAAAAGTGCTAACCAAGATTGCTATTGCCGTATTTTTAAAACGTATTATTGACAATGATTAAACCCGTATATATCCGAATCGTATTTTTTCCGTATCCAATTTTATAACCGAATTTTTACAAACATTTTTCACCATTTGCCGTATCATACCCGTAAAATTCTCGTACCGTTTTTTTGCCGTACCCGTATTTACTAACTAGGTCACGGTAGTGTGGTCTTTTTTTTATTGCCAGGCGCGTCAGCAAAACTTGCACTTCAAAATAATGTTTTTTAAACCCAGACCAAAGGTAATCTGTTTTGCTGCCCAGGTCACGGTTGGACATGACATCAACAACAATTTATTTTAAAAAAATTACTATTAATCCCTTAAATTTTAATATATTACAAAATTCTCCTAAAAAAGTTTAATTAGTCCCTAAATTTTTATTTTTTAAAAATACCCCAAAAATTATCAATTAATCCCCAAACTTCTGACATATCTCCAAACACCACTAAAAATTGCAAATTACCCTATAATTTTGAAATATTAAAAAACCCCCTAAGACCTAACCGGACCGAGAAGCTGTTAGGTCGAACCTGGCAGCTTCTCCGTCCGGTTTTTAAACAGAGAATCAGATAGGGCATTGCTGCGCAAATTTGAACTTTGCAGTTAAGTTTGACCACCAAAAACCATATCCATTTCAACAAATGCTGGTAACTTATTTTATGTTGCTACCATGTCTGGTTCAACATAGCTTCAATGCATGATAGAAAAAAAATATATATGTATAAATGGTGTGAAACATCATATCATAATCTTACTCCTGATTGAAAAAGGTTACCGCACCACCTAGAAATTCATGTTGTTATCAAAAAGAAAAAAAGAAGTAATTTTTTTTACTCTGTTGGGGTTTTGCGTAAATACAGGCAGATCTTACTGATTTCGGAAGAGCTAAAATTTCCACAACTCCAGCATCATACTACAGCAGTATACGAAGGAAAATGGAGTACTCCATCAATTTCCATAAAAAGATTAATGTAAAAAGTATAGTTCAAAAACGAGGCCAATTATATTATTACTATGCATTAACATGCAAAACAAGAAATACAAATCTTGTTTGAGAGGTCCAAGCATCAAAGACTTGTAAATAAATCTACCAAAATGACAAAAACAAGGAGGTTTTCCGAGTAAATGATGTATCACTCCATGATGACATTCAAGAGCAATTCTCCATCCCAACTCATGCTTCAGGTGAATCATCGAATAGCTGATAAAAATAACCATAAAGTAAGTCATCAGACTACTTGTCTAGAGGAAAGTGGAATGAAATATTCTAATGGTAGATCACTGGCTTCAGAGAAGCAATACATGTTCTAGGAACAATTTAAGTGCTCATGCAATGTTTAGCTTAACTTCCATTGAATATGCAGGTAATACTGAGATAATGAGAATTGCTAGCTGGGTAATTATGTTGATCCTTCATATGATATGTTTTCACAGAAACAGTAAGAAATTAATTAATGATAAAATCAAAGTAACAGTGATAATGACCTACGATCAAACACTATGACCCAAAATCTCACCACTGATGAAAAACACAATAACACCGAACTTAAGCTAAAACTAATTTTCAATTATCTGAATAACAAATCTTGAAATTGTTGGGAAACCAAAGCCCATTAAGATGCAAGGATTTGAGGTACATCTCATAAGAAACCAACCCTTATTACTGGAGTATTAAAAAATACTTCTATCCCCTAAAAACCAAATAGCCTAAAAACAGCCAACACCTAACATCTCCATCAGACCAAAGCTACTTCCCACATTATAAGCAAAGTGATTCTCAACCAATAATAAGTACATGTGAATAAATGTTTTCCTCCATATTTTACTTCCCTTTGTCCGTCACAAAGCCTCTAAAATCTAGGCTTGTCTAATAACAAATGCTTAACTTTTTTCTTTCCTTTCAAATGGAGGCTCCAATCATCACATCCAACCTATGAATCTATCATTCAGCCATGTAAAAGCATAAGTGAAGCTAAATAAAATGAACTGATGTATGTTCATAACGGATGATTCCAGCAAAAGACTTCAATGTGTTGAGAACCAAGCAATTCCATTTGAATTGGCCCAATCATCCTCTCAAGTTGGCAGAAATTAATCATGCAAGAAGCTTGACTGTTAAATGGTCTACAAACTAACTGGACCTCTCTAGAAGGAAAGCAGGGCATGAAATGATAACATGATTACAATTTGGTTGAGAAATGTTAGGCCCCACTTACCACACCAATCATCCATTAGAATCAACAAAGTCAATACCAAAAAAGCGGATGCTAGCCGAAATCAGATAAAAGCCAACGAAAATAGAAGAACAAAGGGCAAGAATCAATAGCCATAAGGTCAGGTCATCCCTAGAACTAGTGCAAAACCAGAAACAATGTCTGTAATGAAAGAGAAATTGCAAATCTCCAAATCATGAACTATAAACTAAAGTACATATAAGCTATTTCATTACAAGTATGCTTCAAAACCATTGAATGCATAACAAGTTTTGCACTTGTCACACGTAGCTAATCTAATATGCTGCAACATTACAAAAGAAAGAAAGGGATATATAATACGCGAGAAAAAAGACCAAGGTTGATTCTCCAGTAGCTAACAGCTAACTGAGGTTAATAGAAAATAACCCTCATTTTTCTTTAGAAACCCACAATTAAATGTGGACAATCCTCCACAACAGCTTATAAGCCACTTATTGTAATTCCTAAACAATTCACCAATCAATTAATTAAAACCAAATAAATTAAGCCAAATCCACAAGGCAAAAAGAATCACCATTACTATCTCATGCCCTGAGTTCCATATTTCAAAATTTTCATGTTTTATCTAACAAAGAATTGGCTTCTCAAATTTCAAACAGAGAAAGATCAACCACCCACCCACCCAAATCAATAAATATAAATCAACAATTCAACACTATCACAGATTGGATCCTCTAAAAGTTCCAATTTTTATCTACCAAAGTCTACGTTTTTCGACTTCAAAGACTGAAAAAATAAAAAACCCAGAATAGAAAACGACCCATATAATTGGAATAAATCGATAACTAAGCATCCTACAGATGGGATTGTTCCTAAATTTCCATTTCCAATTTAGCAAAGCTAGGGTTTCTCGAGCTCAAAACATCGAAAAACAAACAAAAACCAAAGAACCAAAGAACCAAATGAAAAAATCAACTAAAAAGTAGATCCGGTTGAGAAAAAAACGTACTAGGCCTCTGGGGTTTTCCACCTTCCCACTTAGAGATTGAAAAGTGAACCTTCTCGCGATTAATGGCTTCAGTCTTATGGGGTTCCTTGAGGCAGTTCCTCACCAGATTCGCACAGATATTAGAGTATGTAATGTATGTCATCCCTGCTGCTCTCCAAAACGGCACCGCTGCGTTTGACGCCATCTTGCTGTGTCTCGGAGTTTCGGTACTTAAAACGAAGATTGAAAAGTGCCGGTCACCACCAATACTATTTGACTTCTTGGTGTTATGACCTAAGCTTCAACTCTAAATTTACTGTTATGGGCCTTGGGCCGGGCTTATTTAGCCCAAATTATCATAAAACTGGGAACTGATTTTCCAAACCCACTAATTTGATTAAAAATTTCACCGTGGTCTCAATTTTGTACATTTTTTTTTTCTTTCACTTTCGTTTTTCTCTTCATCCAAACAGTCTCAATCCTCCAATTAAAACTCTAGAGTCTAGAAGATCAATTAAAAACTTGTGGGGGTCAAAATCACCTGGGGCCTTATCAGGCCCAGACAGGCTTATTCCACTATGGCAGCCCAAGCTTATGATCCAATTTTCGTTGGGCCAGTATCATAGTTCACGACTTGGGCCGAGCCTTCTTCCAGAATGGGCAACTCCAACTGCCCACCTAAGGCCAAGCCTTCCAAACCAAGGTAAGTAACACTCTTCCTGTTTCAATCTATCTTAAACGCCCAAGATTCTATATCTTAGGCAAATTAAGACTCCTATTACTATTAAGTCAAGTGAATCAGGATCTTTCCTATTCACTAGACCTCTTCCTTTAAAGATTCAGAGTCCTATCAGGATACAAAGATCTTACAACTATTATATAAATAGAGGTCACTCCTCTGTTCAGGCATTCAGCCTCAATATCACCTACCAACACCCAAGCTCTTAATCCTAGGAGCTATCTCACTACGCTGTGGTTCTAGTCTCCGACTTGACCTTTGGTAACCCTTCCTTCCCTTACCCTTACTAAATTGCCCCATTTAGCCTTACTGACTTGAGGTCGGAGTGCTTATGGCAGACATCACACTGGTGTCTAAGTAACCTCCACGCTTGTTTGCTTTGTATGCAGGTACAGCGGATTGTCATGGGCTTAACTGCATGGGATCAAACCCTATTTTCGCAACTGTAGATTTTAGCATCTACAGTTTGGCGCCCACCGTAGGGCCTCTAGCAATCGACCTCTGTTCAAAATCTTGCTCTACAAAGAGTCACACAATGGTTGAAAACACGGATACAGCCTCGGCAGATCTCACGACTAAGGTCAAGGTTCTTTCGGCGCTCATGCAACAACAAGCTGACAAAGTCACAGCTTTGGAAGCCGAGAATAACAACATTCGGGTCGAAAATCAAAGCCTACGAGAAAAGGTAAACCAGTTTTATTCTCTTGAATTCCCATTCAATCAGATACCCGAGAATCGCTTTCGCATCTCGGTAAACCCCATGCAGCCACTAACGACCCCAAACCCTAGAATCTCAGTTTCTGACCCCTAGTCTTCCTAGCTCCAGTCATCCATGACGGATGGACTGGCACCCATCACCACAGATACAACAAGCTTAGTCATGCAAACACGCACCCTATCAATTGATCCCTCAACTACTCGTGACCAAATCACTTTAGCCGTCCTAAGCCACTGGCCACTAGCCACCAAATATCACCAATCTTGACCAACCCCTTGGCTTCAGTGATCAACAATACATCCAAGACCCTTCTAGCTTGGCTCACCCTCACGAGTCGATCGATCGATCCATCCAAACACCGCTCGACTTAGCTCATCCTAATGGGTCGAACGGTACCCAAACCACACCTTTAACCATCCATGCTGGTAGAAGTACCCAAACAGTAAAACTTGGGATGATTCACCCTGAAGGGATGAATGGAATCCTAAAAACACAAGATAACCACCAAGCCTACCATAACGACTCGACTTGCCTTACTAGACCGAGTGAAAGAAACACACAACCCCAAACCATGAACCAGACCTTTTGTCTACAGCCTCCCCTCTTGAATAGATATTAGCAAAAATGTTGGCTGATATGGAAGTTATGATGAGATGCATACCTAGAGTACCTGTCCTAGCCAAGAAGAGACTTCCTCATAGTTATGTCGACTCACCTTTCGTAGACTCTATAGCCTTAGCCAAGTGCCCCCAAAATTTTCCATCCCAAATATCAAACCATATGACAGAACGACCGATCCAGACAATCACATAGCTTTATACAAACAGATGATGTTTGCCGTTTCCATACCTTGGGACCTTAGGGAAGCATGCATATGCAAGAGCTTCGGTTCCAGTTTATCAAGGCCAACCCTTCAATGGTACACAAACCTCCCTAACAACTTCATAGGCTAATTCGCTCAGCTCACTGATGTATTCGTTGAACAGTTTGCAAGCAGCAAGAAGTTAGACAAGTTGTCGTCCGACTTATACAAGATTTATCAGAAAAGAGGAGAGCCGTTGTGTGAGTACGTCAGTCGGTTCAATAAAGAAAAGATATCAATCCCATCTTGCCATCCTGAAACTGTAGTAGATGCTTTTAGAAAGGGATTGCTTCTTGATAGGGAACTCTACAAAGACCTCACTAAACTGGGCTGCAATTCAATAGAGGACACCCTAGCCCGAGCGATCATTCAGATAAGGTAGGAAGAAGATGAGGTAAATCGTAGAAGGCATACATCCTACAATGAACGCCGACAGAACTGCAGTGAGAGGTACCCAAAAGCATGATAGTATGAAGCAAACAACTCTGCCCCAGCACGGAATTCCAACAAAAACAACCAGAAGCCGTATGATTGGCAGCCAGCTCGGCCTACATATAGACCTTTCAGCTCTTCTTCGTTCATGGTCCTTGAGTACAACCTCAATGTCAAACTAGCACAAATGGTTGCCATAATGAAGGGGATGGGTCCAACAGTTAAGTGGCCACCTAAGCTGAGACCGAATGCCAAGACAGACACTACTAAATGGTGCGAATTCCACCATGACCACGGACATAATATTGCCGACTACATAGCTTTGAGATTGGAAGTCGCGACCTTACTTAAGAAGGCATCTTCGTGACATATTGATCGACAAAGGTAAAAGCACAATAAAAAATAGAGACGAGAAGAACTGGTCCTCCCCTCTGCCTGACACAAAGCCAGAAGGATTCTGCAACATGATATCAGATGGGTCAGAGATTAGCGGAGTTAGCTACTCCTCGGCAAAAAGGCATGCCTCGAGCAAACTATCTTCTAAAAGCTTGTTCTTCCAATCCATCCACACAGAAGCCTACTCAGCAAGTCATCCAGTTCGAAGATGATGAGCCAGCCACCTTGGCAGCCCTGCACCATGATGCCTTGGTTATCTTGTTGCAAATAGCAAATATTCTGGTACGGGGAGTGTTTGTAGATGGAGGATCTTCCGCCAACATTCTCTTCTTAGAGGTGGTTAAGACAATGGGCATGGACGAATCAGATATTAATAGGCATCCCACCATCCTGGTTAAATTCAGCTCTGAGCAAAGTATACTATCGAAGAGATAACCCTGCTTGTCTACACGAGTGGAGTAAATTGACAAACCATCTTCCTTGTGATGGATTTCTTCTCACCTTATAAAGTCATTCTAGGTAGACCCTGAATCCATGACATGAGAGTTGTCCCTTCAACCTTCCACCAGACAATCAGATTCCCTACTAAATGGGGAGTAAGAGAGATCAAGGGCGACCTGAGTCCTTTAGAGAATGTTACAAAAATGCCTTCAAAGGAAAGCCCAACACCTTATGGCAACTACAGACGATTCTGACTCACCCAACGAGCCAAATTAGCCCTCAATGGAAGAACTGGATGAAGTACATATTTATCTCGATCACCCTAACCGAAAGACTCAAATAGGATCGAGGTTGAGTCTTGAAATCAAAGAGCGACTGATCAACTTCTTGCAAGAGAATCACGACTACTTCGCTTGGTCCCATGCAGATATGATAGGGATCAACCTTGACGCAATCATGCACCATCTCCAAGTCAACCGAGACTGTCCCCGATAAGACAAAAAAAGACAAAAGTTCGCTCTAGAGCGAAACTTGGTGATCAACGAAGAAGTAAAAAAACTCTTGAATAATAGGCTCATTCGGGTGGTCGTTCGAAAGAAGAATGGGAAGTGGCGAGTCTGCATAGACTTCACAGACCTGAATAAAGCCCAAGGACTCATTCTCTTTGCCACACATCGATATCCTAGTCAACGCTACAATCGGTCACGAGTTGCTTAGTTTCATGAATGCCTTCTCAAGGTATAATAGATACTCATGCATCCGGACGACCAAGAGAAAACTTCATTCATCATAGAGAATGGCACTTACTGTTACAAAGTGATGCCGTTTGGGCTCAAGAATGTTGAGGCTACTTATCAACGGCTTGTCAAAAAGATCGTCGCAAAGCACCTAGGGACTACCGTGGAATTATATATCGACGACATGCTCGTCAAGTCATTTCTAGCCGAGCAGCACCTAGACCATCTTAGTTAGGCGTTTGCAGTTCTGAGGTAGTGCAACATGAAGCTCAACTAGGCCAATTGTTCATTCGGAGTCTCTTCTAGTAAGTTCTTAGGATATATGGTGACTAAATGTGGGATAAAAGCTAACCCTGATCAGATCTGAGTTGTCCTAAACATTCCATCACCGACATGCATCAAAGATGTTCAACATCTCTCTGGAAGAGTGGCTGCACTAAGCAGATTCATCCTTCGATCGGCAGACAAGTGTCAACCCTTCTTCGCAGTGCTTCAAAAGTCAAAGCAGTTTGAATGGACCCCAGCCTGCGAAGAAGCTCTGTAGCAACTCAAAAGGTACTTGACTTATCCACCTTTAATTTCTAAACCACGAATTGGAAAAAAATTGTATATATACCTGACAATCTTGGAGTTGGCAGTTTCAGCTGTCATGATTAGAGAAGACAATGGGAAGCAGCTACCAGTCTATTATGTGAGCAAGTCACTCCTTGATGTTGAGTCCCGATACAGTCAGTTGGATAAGTTGGTCCTAGCACTGATTCATGCCTCTAGGAACCTTCGGCCATATTTTCAGTGTCATTCCATAATTGTGCTCACTATATATCCGCTCAAGAAGATTTTGCATAAGCTCAAGCTCTTGGGGCGACTCACTTAATGGACGATCGAGCTAAGTGAATTCGACATCTCATTCCAACCGCGCACAGCCATAAAGTCCCAAGTGTTAACGGATTTCATA